AAAACTTCTCAAAAAAACAGGTAGGAAGACCTAGAGTTTGCAATTTCATAAACCTTAGGAAAATTCCGAATATTAACACCTAAAACGATCTTATAACTACTGTAGTTTTTTAGTAAAAAAGCTGTGTTGAGAAGCTATAAAAAGATACGACACGTGAGAAGAAAAAATAAACAAGACTTGAAATCCATACCAGATTATAGGACGTACTGAATTAATGTACACCTCTATGGCAATAAGCAGGGTGACCAAACAGTGAAATTATATGGCAAACTATCTGACAAAATATGTTAACACAGTTATACTATGAGATTCAGGGCCTAAATCATTAGCTACCGTATACAACACCACCAATTTCAACCTGGAACCCGACAATAACCACCATTTACAAAACCCCCACCCTCACCCCAACCACCGATTTCAAACTGGACGACTGTTTTCAAAAAACCCGACTGTCTGTAATTAGTGCGGGCTACCGTAATCACGGGGGCACCGGGGATGTCCTATTGTTTGGTGTGTGATGTGATGGGGGATTCCGTGAAATTCCGTTTTTTACGAATGGACGGTTCTATTCAGGGACAATTCGGGACGGTCCCTGAAGACGTTCCGAAATCCGTCCTCACGAACAACATATTTACGCCCGGGGAATAAAGGGCTTTTTGAGGGAGAGAGAGAGAGAGAGAGAGAGAGAGAAAGACAGAGAGAGACTGAGAATAGGCAGGCGACAGAGCGGGAGGGGCAAAGCCTGCGAGTGAAACAGAGAGGAAAAGAGATAGAAAGCAAGAGAGCGAGAGAGAGTGCGAGAGATAGTGGTGAGAGTGGGAGAGAGAGTGATAGAATGAGAGAGATATACAGCCAGCGCAAAGAAAGGGCGACAGAGCGAAAACGCGACAGAGACAGAAAGAGCGAGAGAGCGAGAGTGAAAGAGAGAGAGAGAGTGAGAGAGAGAGAGAGAGAAAGCAAGGAAGGAGAGGAAGGCAGCGAGAGGAAAAAGTGCATCAACACGTCTGCGTAGGTCCCGCGGGGATCCTTCAAGAGCCCGTTGATGAGAAAAAAGGGGTGGCCGCCGAAGCGTCTGCGCTGACGGAATAAATAATTTCGAAGGGCGCTGTAGTGGATTCCGGGTGGAGGCTGTTTTTACGGAGCTTTTTGCAGAATACGGGATGCTGATGCTGCAAAAGTGCTCGGGTGCGTAGCCTTCTTTCCTTTGATAGGCATGGAGCGGAATGGGGTTCCTCGAGATTTGCGGATCGGGTTTCAGGAAAATATTTGCGAAATTGTGGTGTGCTTTAAATGGAACGAGTCAGAAAGATACTTAGGAAGAGAGGGAAGGAGCGAGAACGAGAGAGAGAGAGAGAGAGAGAGAGAGAGAGAGAGAGAAAGAGAGAGAGAAGAGAGAGAGAGAGGAGAGAGAGAGGAGGAGAGAAAGAGGGAGGGAGAAAGGGAGAGATTGAGGCAGAGACAGGGAGAGAGAAGGAGTGAACTACAGCAAAAGGGAGTTAACGAAAGAAAGCTAGCAGGCGAGAGAGAGAGAGAAAGAGGGAGAGAGAGAGAGCGAGAGAGAACCAAATTCAGCATCAAGTACACCTATTCTACTTGGCCTGAAAGGCGGAATCGCTCGGACCGAGCAGGCAGGTGAATGTTTACGTAGCCTCGATAATCCGTGCCAATGAACTTCCCCCGAAAAAGTTTAGCTGCTCGATAAACCCTCCAGATTTTGGGGGTGAGTGGGCTGGATCAGGATTTTTAGAAGATTTTCGCCATCATGAAGTACTTCCGGTCACAAAATTTCACGAGACGGATGTTTTAAAGGAAAGGGCAAGGCAAGCGTCAAGATTCTCAGGCCATGGAGGCGCTATAAAGTTATAGCGGCCAGAACCCGCGCGGCGCGTACGCCTGAATATAATGGTGTACCGGATTACGATCCGTTCACAATTCCGGAGTAGCTGCGCGCGTTGCGGTTGCCACGCATCGCGTCTCGCATTCGCGGCAAAGTTCAGGGGATAGATAAATTCACTGACGTGGATTGTGGATCCTTTAAATGTATAGTAAACGCAAGTTACCCATTCGGATAGAGTGCGATCAGAAGTTAGGTTTGAGAACAATAAAAAAAATCTTTTCCTATTTACCGTACTCCAAGAATCGTCATCCGGCAGCATTTTTTTTGGTCCGAGTGGGTCCAAAAGGCCAAGGGGCCCATCCCAATTATAATCCACACGTGCGTTGGGGGGTTGACCACCAGGAGGCGGCTTCGTCTAATTAAAATTGAGCCCCTCACATGATTGTCCAAAGAGAGAGGAAGTTTTAGGGTTCTAAAGGGGATATCTCGTGCCGGCCACCGCTTCATCATCGGTGTCTTGGGAGAGATGGAGAGGACTTGTAAATTTCTAGTAGAAGGTGTTTATTGAATAACGAAACTTAGGTTTATTAAATGCCTGAAATTAGCCTCAATTTTAGGATAAGAGCCTCTAGATAAGCTGGCGATCTGTTACGCACCGGAAGTGTGGCTTGCGGATCGCGGTGCTGTAAAATTCGGCGTGGATCCATGACCACCAGATTCATAGCCCAGCCTTGCATATCACTTAAAGGCCTAGAAGGGGTCAGACTCCCGAGAATTACGCGGGAGAGCGAGAAAAAAAGGGAGAGCGAGAAAGCGAGAGAGAGATAGAGAGTGATAAAGAGAGCGAGCAAGAGAGAGCGAGAGAGAGAGAGACAGCGAGCTAGAGAGCGAGAAGTGCGAGAAAGAGGGCGAGAGAGCGCGAGAGAGAAAAATAAATAAAAAGAAAGTTAAATAGAGTGAGTGAGCGAGAAAGAGAAATGAGAGTTACCATGTCGGAGATAGCAAGGTCTGGTGCGAGAGGGAGAGAGAGAGAGAGACAGAGATAGAGAGAATGAGAAAGAGCGAGAGAGAGATAACCCATGTGTGAGAGGAATAGAGAGAAAGAGGGATACAGATGAGCAAAACAATCCAAGGCGGGTTCTAATTAATTAAGAATCAAATCCAAATTCCTTTCTTGATCCCAACAACACCTATTGGCCTGTGTCTTGAACTTCCCATTTTTCTCTCCCCCAGCCTCCTCGACTTCATTAGTGTATTCAGATGAGGTGGACGGGGAAGATTGAAGAGGCAAGAAGGGAGCACGAAGAGAAAAGGAAAACCCGGCTCTATCAATTCACAATTCATTGCGTCCCCCTCTTGCCAATTATGCCCCATCGGCCATCAGGTGGCTTCCTGAATTTCTTATGACATAAGAAGGGGCGCCAGCTGCAAAAAGGTGGAAAAACAAAGGCAGCAAGTTCAGAATTTTTTGGTGAGAAAAAGATTCATCATTATCGGATCGGAATGGAGGCAGGTGAGCTACGATTTGCACAATAAGACGCCCAGGAAGCCGAAATTAGTTTAGAAAGAAAATGCAAAAGAAAATTCTACTTCACGCACCCCTCCGATAATGCAAAAGTTATGTAAGAAAAAGGGCTCACTTATTAAAAAATTAATCTAGAATGTTAGTGTGTCTTCCTCCTTTCCATGAATACCCCCGGAGTTGCTATGCTTGGCTGCACCTTCCGTATGCCATTAGCAACCCGTAAGCACGAGCATGAGCGGAAAATTTGCAATCAAGCGGTCTTCAGCGCGGAAGTGTTATTTTAGAGGCACCGGAAATAGTAAGGAAACTTCCGGGACCAAAAATCGCGTGTAAATTGCTAAAAGACGCATGTAAAATTCTTAAATCATAGATTCGTTCGTTTGCCTGAATTGGTTCATCCGCTTCATTTCATTTGCAAGTTGTCAAAACGTACATTTAAAAGCGTCATTCTAGCCATCCGATGGCGATTTTAAAAGTGTTTGCAAGCGCAAAAATCGGTCCTTTTGGTGACTCGATGTCGACAGCCGCTTGACCCGCGAAAATCGGATACATGCTAATTTTGAGCAATAAAACAGTAAATTCATGCAAAAAGGGCAAAAGTTATTTGCGGCTAAGCTTAGCTCATCTCTGTCGAGACCTAGTCGGGGTCGATTCCCAAGCTTCCTAGTCCCTTTAAAGCCAAAAATCCAGGGGGTTAAAAAGTATGCGATGCACGTAGGATATTTCGCGTCTCAAAATACACCACAACGCGTCGTACCGATCGTACAATATACAACTGCTGACGCTATCCCCAAGCGGCCGCAAATTCCCCAAATTCCGAAAATGACCGTAATTCGGCGCTCGTGCCGGATTACCTCCGGGAAATCGGGTTACAAATAGAATTTGGGGAAAAGGTTCGGGCCCCGTCCCCCGCAACATACAGGTGCAATTTTTAGAAGCGGTCAAGAGTTCGAAAATCAAGGGTTTTTAGAAATTTACATTAGAAATAATAGAAATTTATATATAGAAGATTATTGAACTTTTAATAGGTTATGGCTACTTGTCTAACCATAGAGATCAAGAAACCGGTTTTCACAGTTTCATAACTATTAATATTTGTCAAAATTAACAAAGGTAATTTACTTTGAAGCATGAAAAATTGGAAAAAGTCGATTACAGGCGCTTTTCCTGCCTAATTTATTATTCTAATGAAACGTAGAAAAAATACAGCTTAAGGGTGGTCTAAACCATGGTTTAACTTTATGTCAGTTAGTGTAAAACTACCGTAAAATTCACGAAAATATATGTAAAATTGTGAAAGCGTGCGAAAACAGACTAATTCATGCCATTAGAATTTTACTAGAGTTATAATCAAACGTAAAAATACAGAAATCAAGAATTGCGGTTGAAATTGGCCTAAATACATTTCAAAATATCCAGAAAGTGATGAAAATTGCCAAAAATGTACTTCAAACATTACAAACTGGCAAAAAAAGGCTAATAAGAATGCTTTTCGAGTTTCAATTCGTGAAAGATAAACGAGAAAACGTGAACTCGCGTCTGGAAACGCCACAAATTTTAAAAAATGATTGATGCACCTAAAAATCTAAAAATTTATTACAAAAACATCAAAAAATTTCAAAAATCCCGAAATATTTATTCTACCGTACCCTTCCTGTGGATCTTATCACAAAGTTTGCTTAGAATTTGGCACAAAGTGGGCGGTGAGTCGGTGGGGGTGAATTTTTCGAGAAATTTCTCGCGGAACTCGTCGAGTTTTTGCAGCTTCTGCTCGTCGAATCGGGTTAGGTTGGCGGTGCCGTCTCGTTGGTAGGTCTTCTCAAGGATGTCGGTCAGTCGAAGCACTCGAGATGTGAAGTTCAGGCTCAAGAAGGCTGAAAAGGAGGGAGGTTGGATGCGTCATTTTTTGAGTTTACAAAGTATTTTCCACTTACTTTTGTATACTACTTACTTTAGCGTTTACTTTATAGTCAGTGCAAGTATAACTCTTTTCCAGCCTTTTTCATAGCCCTCTATTAGAAACTTCGACCTTTTTAAAACTAGAATTAAATTGACATTTAATTATCGTATTAATGATAAAAATCAAAATAAAATACCTCTCAATCTATATTTTCATTTTTCAAAAGACAGTAATATACCGATGGGTTTTATAAAGTAGTAAAATTTTAACTTATTTTATTGTTGCATATTCGGGCTTTACTCTAAAGAGAAAAATGGTTTTAAAATTAGCAGTATCTATCAGAAACCTGGATTCTAATAGATTTTCAGAAACGAGTAATTTTTCAAGCTGTAGGATTTTAGTTAGCTTTTGGAATCGTTGTTTGCTAAAAATTTAGTTGTTAGTAATACAATGTTATGCCGACTTGAGCAACGACAAAATTCTGCCCGAGGTCCTTAGCGCGCCCCCTACCTGACTGGATGGGTGGTCCCGCAGCGCGCGATTACGCATCGTTCCGCTACCGCAGCCCTGCCCCGGCCGTCCACCCGTCCCGTCACTCGATTTTTCGCGATTTTCACGCAATTTAAATAAGATTCTCGAATTTGATAATTAATTTAAACTATTGAAAAAGATATTGGAAAAACAACTGCCTGGCTTTTACCAGTACTTAATGATGTTCTGCTGATTTTTTTTCTTGTATTTCCCACTTTCCTTCTCACTCTTTCCGGTATTTAATATTTCCTCCATTTTTAATCAGTAAATTAAATATCTTAAATAATAAAACCTACCAGTTATATTATTTTTTTGATCCTGCGGGACCACAACTTCCGTATTACAATCGATGAAAAGAAGCGTAGAAATTAAAGCGGCGCAAAAATACTGTAGTTTCATAATGTGAGATACAAGCTGGAGTAGAGATCGTGGCGGTTAAAATGTTAGAATTTTGTTGTATATATAGTGAAATTTTGAGTAAAATGACTCATTCAAAGCGGGGTTTGAAAAATGTGTCAGCATCCAATTTTCGGGGGATTTAGCTGGGGTATGCGCTCGGCAATGACGTATCACGGGTTGGAGGCTGGAATTTTGGATTCCCCATTAAACTACAGCATTTTTATGTTGACTACGCTTTAAATTTCTTAAGAAGATTTTGAAGCATATTAACGTTTAAAAATACTTTTTAAAAATTTTAATAAAATAAGCCGGCTTCTCAATAGTTTTCATGATTTGAAAAGAAACATTCCGTCAGTACCTACATAATGTTTTGCTGATTACTTCCTTGGTCTATGTCTGCTAAATTTATATGATTAAAAACTTCACAAATAACTTTTAGAAATTTCCTCTGATTTATTAAATTCTTATCCTCGATTGTGTCTTGCATGCATTTCAAAAGAGTCATTCTTTTACTAACAACTTTATTTACACCTTGAATTTAATTTCATAGAAAAGGGTAAGAATTAAAAAACCAGCAAGACCATTTAAAAATTAATTGGTATTATAAAATGGCGGTAGACAGCTCAAAATAGGTCAGAAGGATACCAGAGTTTTGCTAAAAAACGAGTCATGACCAGGGAAACCAAATAAAATTAACAGCGTTCCAGTAGAGCCCAATTATTTTGGCATTGAAACATTGTCACGCCAGTTGGCTTCCGGCTTGAATTGGGCCGAGCGCTTCTGAATCTTCTTCTCCTCCTCTGGAGCTCCAGTGATCTCATCCTCAGGTACCACGTTGGCTGGAGCATTTTCTACCTCTCTTTTAGCGTGTTGGAGATTTTCCGCTTCCAAAATGGCTGCTTCATGCTCCTCGACTACGGTAGTCTGGTTGCTATTCAGAATCTCAGCAATCGGGTCTTGCACTGGGGGTACGGTAGTTACGGTGGAATTGTGTGGCGTAATTTTCTCATTTTTGTTAGTTTCATCGTTTTTAGTAGTTATCGTCGTTGTTCCGGTTACCGTAACCTCCTCGATTCTTGTCGAATATGAAGAAGGAGTCGAGCTCTGGACTACGGTCGAATTTTCCATACGTACCGTAACGTTCAAAGCTACCGTAGTCGAATTATCAACACTGGGTTCGTGTACCGTTTCAAAGTTGGGGTTTTCGACAACCTGAACCGGAATTTCGTCATCGCTTGCCCATGGCTCGTCAATAGTAGCGTTCGGAGCTGAGCGCTTGATTGGAGGGATTTCGACTTCGACTAGGGTAGTATTCAAAGCTACGATATTGGCTTCAGAATCTGAACTAAGCGTCGTCGACGTAGATAAATTTGCGTCAGACGCCGTTCCTTTTTTCGGGGAAATCGAGGGAACGAGGGCAGTGGCAATTTTCAACTTCATCTGTCCGCTTGGCCCTTGGTAATTCAGTCGTAGCTACGTCTATCGCTTCACTGACTTCATCCTCGGCTTGACGCTTGGCTTTTGAGACTTGGGAAGTAAACTGACGAGCGTCAGCTATAGTAACTTCAGATTTCTCAGCTTCGTCTTCCCGCTTGGCTCTTGGTATTTCCGTCGTAGCGGGGTCCGTAGCTTCAGTAGACTCACTCACCGCCTGACGCTTGGCTCTTGGGGCTTCAGAAGTACCTTGGTTAGCATCAGCTTTGGGAGCTTCGGCGCAACGCTTGGCTTTCGAAGCTTCAGAAGTGGCTTGTTCCGGCTTTTCAGTGGTTGCTTCAACTTCCACCTCCGTTTCTCGTTTCGACCTCCCCGGAGTTGACGCTTCAGCTGGAATAGTTGAGCCCTCAACGTCAGTCTCAGCTTCACGCTTGGCTTTTGAAGCTTCCGAAGTGGCTTCCTCAGGCTTCAGGGTCGATCCCTCAAGTTCATCTCCAGCTTCACGCTTTGCTTTTGGAGCTTCGGAGGTCGCCGCCGCCGGCTCGGAAGTGGAGGTGACAATTTTATCTAGAGCCTCGCGCTTCGACTTTGAAGCTTCAGAAGTTACTTTGTCGGGCTTGGAATTGGACCTTTCCACTTCATCTACGACTTCACGCTTAATTTTTGGAGCTTCAGATGTACCCTCTTGGACTTCCGCTTTCTTAGCTTCAGCGCAACGTTTAGCTTTCGAAGCTTCAGAAGTGGCTTCATCTGGATTTTCAGTCGTTTCGACCTCACGCTTTGTCTTTGGTGCTCCAGAGCTCGGTTCCTCCAAAGCCTCATTAACCTCGGGCTCAAAATCGATGAGGTAGGACTCGGCTTCTCGCTTCCGGCGCCTGGCCTCGGTAGTTTCTGAGGTCGGGGCGGTTACCGTAGTCTGATGCGCTTCAACGGCTTCAGTGGCTTCGGACTCAGAAGCCAGCTCCTCTGCTTCTTCCGTAAAAGGGCTCCTCTGGAATCGCATCGGCTTTTTCGGCTGGTGCTTCGTCACGTTCACTTGGCCATCAGCGTCGTATGGGGATTGGGCTAGTGCGTCTTCCACGTTCATCATCCGTTTTGGACGGACCTGGAATTAGGGGTTAAGAAAGGATACAGTTCAAGAATCAACCCCCTGTTAACTACTGAGCGTCGACAATAGAAAGCTCTGTGAATTAGTGCGTTCAAGTCTTTAAAAAAACTTTAAAATCGCTACTTCAAAATTAGTCGACCCCTTCTAAAGGCTGGGTTTGGACGCTACGCGGCACTGAAATTACGCCTGTTAGCTACAATTGAACCTTAATTCTTAAGTATACTTTTTCTTAAGCTTGATCCAATTGAATGCAACCAGAAAATTCGAGGACAGTCTAGTGCCAAAATCAACCCCTACTGCTTCGACCAGGTCTTGACAACTACGCGCCACAACAAAAAACGATGTTTTACATATTTTCACTTTGACGATGCGTCCTGGGTGGCAAAAGATGCTAAGTCTCTAGTTCGTGGTTGTCAACACCCAGGTTTCGAAGGGGTCGATATTTGCACCTCAGACGCATTAAGCTATTGTTTCCAACCCATTTGATCGAATACGAACCCCATCCACTTCCTCCAGGTGTTGATCAACATGCTCTTGCGCGGCTTTGATGACTTTCAAAAGTCCAGACGCCTCTTCGTGAGTGTTCAGGTCTCGCTTTTTCCGGTTTCCGGCGTTGGAAAGCAGGGCGGTGATCTAAAAACATTGGCTTAGCGTAGCTTTGCTTGGCTTTTTTAGGCTTAATCCGCTCAAGTATCGTAAGCCAATGTTGAGATTCAGGGCTAAGGAGTAAAAATTTGATCAAGCTAACCAATGATTGATTCGCAGCCTTTGCGTTGACATCAATTCCGGTCGGCTTGCAGACGCAGGTCGCCTTCTGGAGTTCCTCGTCCTTTGGCAGGGCATTTTTGGATACTGTGGCTATCTAAAAACTTTCTTTATCTTTTTAAGAGTTGTTGCCGGCTTTTTGAAAAAAATAAGCTTGTTTATGAAATTACTAAGCGAACTGCTACTTCTAGAGACTAAATCCGGCCGCGCCTACCGTAATATTTCCAGGCGGTCGGCTCCAAATACTGGTCGCATTCAGAATCGTGGTCCCATTGGCATTGTTCCCGGTCCAGGTGATGATGGTCACGTTTTCGTCCTGCTCTACCGTACGGCCGGTGGTCTTAAAATTTATTTTCATGGTTTTTGAAGTTACGAACCATTCCCTCGGGGGTAGAGGCCTCGACAATTGGTGGTACGGTAGCCAATTCTTCCGGGTTCGAATTGGCCGAGCAGGAACTGAAAATCAATTTAATTTTTCGTAGAAATCAGGGATACTGGTCGTGGTTATATGGCCCTGAAACTGTATTACGCGATTTTGTATTCTTGCCGTAGTTAAAATGTTTGATTCCCAGTAATTCTTGACTCTCAGTTTCGGTCCGGTTATGCTTTTCCCAAATCCAGGGGATTAAGGATGAAAGGAGTGTTGCGTGGTGTATTACGGTGCTCTCTATATCTCTCTCTCCCTCTTTCTCTCATTCCTCTCTCTCTACCTTCAGAATACTCACCGTTCCGGAGTCGAAAACAATGGGCAATCCCCTCCAGGCGCTCCCTTCAAAGTCTCCAGCTCAATCCGGCATGCCTTCTTCGGGTTGTCCCCCGGACATCCATTTTCCAGGATAATTGAGTCGCCTGGAAAACCGTAAACTGTATGAAAAAAATCTGATTTCGGAGTGGTTGGCACCGTGTCAAAATATGGACCTTTCTTCAGCGCGGCACTTTTCTAGTACGTTAGAATACGGATCCTGTGCCCATTGATGAATTGCGTCAGAGACGTCATCAAGGGCACTCAAATTCTTGTTGGAAAACTACGGCAAAAAACTGTTCATAAGTACGTTCAAATCGTATGCCAATGCTGACAATACATTGTGGATTAGTACGCACCTCGTCAAATCGCGATTTTTATTACGTCGGCATGAAATGTTTAAGGTACGACTGCATATGGTTACGGCATTCCATTAAAAATATGGTAGAAAAGCTGTTTTATAGTGAATTCGAATCGTAGGCTCATTGAAAAAAATCCTGATCTTGAGTAGTAAACACTGCACCAAAATCAGTTTGTCGGTACTTGGAAAGGGCACCTTTCAAGTACGTTGGAATACGGATACGGTATACCTTGACGGAATACGGTAGCTAGACGCTATTTTAAAACATTGAAAGTGACACCCCAATTTAGGCAATACCAATCCAGATTAGTAAGCTCCGTTTAAAAATTAGGAAAGTTTTTTACTTTCGACTAAAACCATGTTGGTCCGGCCCCATACGGCTACAGTACTCATCAAAAAACTACGATATAAAAAGCGGTGTTCAAAAGCGCATACCAGTTCAGAACCATAAATTCGAATTTCAAAAGCCGAAGTGAATACCGATACGGTATCGAGCGAGAAAACTAAGGTAGTGGAAGCTGCAAAAACAAAAACCCTACCTCCCACGAGCCCAACAAGGGCAATGATAGCTATAAGGCTTCGCATCCCGAGGCGTTCAGAGGTGCGTCGCGTAGTCGGAAGTACGGTAATTTTCCAGCCGTGCCTTTAGAAATGAAGATTCGCACCAGGAAAGTGGGTTGTCGGCCGGTTCTAATCTTCACCTGGAGCGGCTTTTGCCTGTGTTGCCGGTTGGTTGCCCCAGTGACCGTCTCCAACTCGCCGCCCTTTTTGGGTGCCTTTCAAAATGGGCGGCCACCTGAGACCATTTTTTGCGCCGTGGCCCATCGAATCGGAAAATAAAGGCCCTGGGGAAATGTAGCCAATTACCGCCCCCGGCCAGGTTGCGCTTTCCGCTTAATTAGCGTGGGCAAAATTCCGGCTCCTCGGGGGATCTAATGATTTCTGAAAATTCGGGAGAAATTTGTCTGGGACATTTTGAGCAGGTCGGAAATCAGAGAATTGCTGAAATTTAGAAAAGCAAAAATTTTTTGAACAAAAATTCCCCAAAAAAATAATTTTTGGGAACGTTGCAAAAGTTCTAAGCAGGAGCATTTTGCATATTTAATTAGATTTTTCTATATTTACTCTTGTTTCCAGAGTCTCAAAAATTTTTACAATAGTTTATTTGTTACGCTAAAAGCGTTCAAATACCAATAAACATCCTGGAGCCGGTTCCGACAAGTTCAAGGCGTTCACCAACCCAGAAACCCGTCATCTCCATATGCTAATCGATGCGTCACCACTGGCAAAAGGCTTACTTTAAAAACCAGGCAGAAAAAAGATTGCGTCAGCAGGTTAAACTAAAAATCTGGGTGGGCTCCGGACAGCACCAATTTCAAGAGGTTAAGCACCAAATCCGGAGGAGCATCTCCATCATGAGGGAATTAATGTAGCACTGAGGTCAAAGAAAACTAAAAAATTACCAGAAACCAGGGTTGAAAAACCGCTTCGCGGCTTTTCAACCCTGGACCCGTCTAGGACTTCTGGAAAATTGACTTTACATAGGGCTTGCCGAATGCCGCTCACCAAAAAATGAAAAGCGCACGCTCCCTCCATTTTTATAGGCTACGGCCACTTCCGGTCAATGCTAATTGCCTCCTAACAAAGAGGTTTTTCGATATATTTACAAAAACTTAATTTTAATAGCGAAAACAGCCGATTTTCTTCAATTTTATATGTGTGCATCCATCTCGGGATGCAAATACACACACACACACACACACAGACACTATTTTTTTATATATAGTAGGATCAATTCACTCTTCTGAAACATCAAAACTTTAGAGACCCGGTCCGACAACTTCAAGGCGTTCCTAAACGCGTGCCAGTACGATACGGTATACCGTCAATGAGGCGGGGGCGTTGCAAAATAAAATTTTGAAAATTCAAGTAAATGTTCCGGAGTGTATGAACACCTCGGCGGCGGGCTTCAGCGACAAGTTCAAGCCACTCAGCCGGTCCGTCGGAGTCTTAAAGGTGTTGGTAGGTGGAGTGTTCGACCCCTTGCTATGATTGGGTCTCGACAGTCACGCATCATCACAACGATGTCGGTAGCTTGATTCGATTTTCAAAACCTTCCAGTTCCTTCGGAATAACAGCTTCAGCTGGATGTTTTGTAGCGGCCGCGCAGTAGTCGAGACCTAGTCGATGGTTGGGGTCGATTTTTTGGCGCTTCACCGTTCCTTTAAAACTAACCACTATAGCTAAAAAACCAGTAGTGGAGTGACAACATCTTGTACTGTGAAAAAGAAGATTTTTTTAGACTGGTTTAACCCTAAAAAATGCTAGCTTATTTCCGGAGCATTTTCTGAAAGATAAAATCGTTGAAAAACACTTTCTATATTTTTTTTGATAAAGCCGTGCCCCTATGTGATCGATTTCAGGCCTGTATTAACTGAATTAAAACCTTGCATACATTTACAGTGTCTAAAACCGATCCTGATCATCGTGAGCGTTGATGCCCTAGGTGTCACCATCCCTTTAAAAGCCATTTCCAACGGAGCACCAGCCAGGAGGAGCTGCACAATGTTGGCGGTAAAACGGTACGAAATCACGTGATCATGAAATGGTCCCTGCTATCTGGTTTATTCAGAGCATTAGTAATACCCTGGATGTCGCTACCCCTTTAGAATGCCATTTTATGACGGAGCATGAGTCCGGACTCCAGACTCCGGATGCACTCACAACCGACCGACAGGAGAATAAGAGATTTAGGTAGATATTTTGCAATTGAGACATTTAGTTACACCTACCAGCAACAATATTGAGGCCCTAGGTGTCACGGTCCCTTTAAAGTTCGATTTCCGACGGAGCATGACCCGGTGCTTCTCATAACTGCTCGAAAAGCATATTAAAAAAAAATCTGTTGTTGTATATGTATGCAAATAAGCAATTAATGCCTTGCTTATTTTCAGAGCCGCCTAACACAGGTGTCACTGCCCCTTTAGAACCCATTTTCAACGGAGCGCCAACACAAATCCAGCCAAAATTGCTCGAGAAACGAATCGAACATCTGCCAGGTGGCAGCGTATGATAAGGCCGCCATTGGTGCGTCGATTCTCTTATCAGTCTGAACATCTGCCCCTATCAGCCCTTATCAGCCCTTATCAGCCCCAGGGCATTTTCGCGCCTTTTTTGGCCCCGATCGATAACCTTGCTGCCAGCCGAATTTGCGGGAATTTTTTTCGCGCTTGCAGGCAAGACTTTTGTCTTCTTTTGTGAAATTTATATGCTTCTGTTCACCTGCATCCATTGCCTAACCCCGTTGAACTCGTTCATCTTCGTGCGCTCCTGAAACTGCCCCAAAAACCACTTCAAATTGTTCATCTACCGCTGATTTTTGTGTTTTCCCGGTTTTGTGGTCTTGATCCTGAAATCTCGGTTTTTCCTGTCAAAAACTGCCTCTCGCTAATTCTGTTTATCACATTTGCCATGATTTTGTCTTCCCGTACAATCTTTACCACATTTTCCTTGCTGAACTGTTTTCCATTTTTCGTAAACTTCCGTCAGATATTTTTCAACGTGTTTTTTTTCAGGGTGACTACACGCAGGATGGGCTTCATCTTTGTCCAGAAGCTGACGCTCGAGCCTGAAGTACGCCGACTGCAATGATGCCCAGAAGGTACTAGCATCTCTTGATTTTTGTACAGTATTGTTTTTGAGGTGTTCGACGTGTCCAACGTGTTCGGCCGGCTGCGTCGACCAAGATCATCTCCAGAAGAAGAACGACAAGTTGAAGACGACGGATTCTGACGATCAACATGTTTCAGGTAATTTCTGACTTTTTTCGTTTTTAGGCGCCGCCACGACGTCAACATCCGGGACGACGACGGAAGAATTTGACGAATGACATTGAGATGAGGACGATGACGATCAACTACTTCATCGTGGAAAACGCAATTCTCAGGTTCTTGCTGTTTTTTTCTGATGACACTGATTTTTGTAGGTCTTTGACTTCAACCACCGGGGCGACGACAGAAGAATTCGATGAATGAAATTGAGGCGTCGACGCGATTCTGAAGAAATCGAGGCAGATGTCGCGGAAAACGAAGCTATGAGGTCCGTACTGATTTTCTAAAAAGACTGTTTATTTTAAGTTTTCGACGTCAGCTCGGTGACGACGACAAGGCATTTCGACGCGTGGAATTGAGACGACGACCACTACGATCATTTGAAGAAATCGAAGAAGATGTGATTGAAGATGAATCTACAAGGTTCGTTCTGATTTTTGTAAACTACTGTTTATTTTAGGATCATGACGAAACGCGGTGACGGCGGGAAAATGTGAATACGGGAAAATGTGGTCAAAACGACGTCATCAAATGAAGTCCAAAAAGATGTCGCGAAAAACGGGATTACGAGGTTCGTACTGATTTTCTAAAAAAACTGATTTTTTTTTCCAGGTTTCCGACGTGTTCAGCCGGCGGAATGGCCTAAGATGATCATCTACAGGACCTCAGCGAAAACAGCAACAAGTTCTGGACAAAGGACCCATCTCGATGATTCAGGTATTTTCTGAAATTTTTGGTTTTTTAGGTATCCACATGACGTCAAAATACGTGACGACGACAACAAATTTTGGATCGGGGAATTTGGGACGGTCACGACGCCATCTGCTGAAATCCAGAAGATACACTTTGAACGGATTTCCAGGTTCAGTTCCGTATCCAATTTTTAACGAAAATTTAGATTACTCGACGATGGTACTGAAGTGGATTGTATGGCGCTGATCGTCGACGTCTACTGCTGAATTTGAAAAGTGAGAAAATCGGACTTTACAATTTCAAATTAATAGGTATTCCGAGGGACAACTAATGGCGCTCACGAAGGGAAATTGCGATTCAGGGAAATTCGACAATTCCACCAAATAATGCAAGATAAGTCATTTTTCTAATTAGCGTACAATCACGATTTAGATACGAATGGAATTCTCCTCCCAACCTGCCAAAGCGAAACCAAAAACGGCTTCTCAACTTCATACAAGATAAGTCACCGCTTTTTTTCAGAAATAACAATTTTTAGGTTTCGTTGTCAATCGAGCGAGACAAGCCGTTGCTGCTCGGGCGGAAAATGAAGATCTGAAGCTACCGAAGCCACTGAAGTCGACTTAGCTCATCGAAGCTACCGAAGCCGACTTACAGGTATGTCCTTTCGGCTTAATTCGACTTTTCTTGATCCTTTTCAGGTAAAGGCGACTTCGTTGCTGTGGTGTGTGGCTAGAAGTGAAGATTCGGAAGCCACCTAAGCTATTTAAGTCGACTTGTCTCAAAGGTCTGCTTTTTTTAAAATTGCTTTGGTGCCTTCCAGGTATATCCGAGATCGATGTTGATGGATGTCCCTCGAACTCAAGCTGCTGCGGCTCAAGCTGAGGTGAAGCTACCGAAGCTACCGAAGCTACCCAAGTCTACTTAGAGGTATTCCCTTTTGCCTTCATCCTTTTCAGGTAAAGCCGAGCTCACCGATGATAGGTGTTGCTCGATCACAAGCTGATGCTCCTCAAGCCGGAATGGTCTCAAGGTACGTTCTTTTCCAATTTGCTTTCATCAAACTCCTTAGGCAAGGCCGACTTCGTTGATGATGTGGATGTCATTGGGCTCATGCTGCTGCTGCTGCTCAAGCCTGCAATGAAGCTATCGAAGCTAACCCAAGTCCATTTCAAGGTGTGTCCTTTAATTTGCTTTCAGAAAACTCTTTAGGCAATTCCAACTTCGTTGATGATGATGGTGTTGCTCGCGCACATGTTGCTGGTGCTCAAGCTCAAGCGAAGCTTCTGAAGCTGACCCAAATCTATTCCAAGGTATTTCCTTTTAAATATGCTTTCAAAAAACTCCTTAGGCCAAGCCGACCTCATCGATCGGGTAGATGTTGTCGGGCTCAAGCTGGGACTGGTGCTCGAGATGGATGTGAGCTGCCGAAGATGCCGAAACTGGCCAAGTTTGCTGCAAGGTATGCCGTTTGGACTTGCTTGCTTGCTTTTCAGGTAAAGCCGACGTCCTCGCTGATGGGCTTTGCTCAAGCACACGTGGCTGTTGAGCAAGGGCGTGAAGTAGCTGAGGCTTCTGAAGCCAGTGAAGCTACGGAAGCTCGCGACGCCACCCAACTCCACATCAAGGTATGCCAACCTCACTTTAATTTCATACCCTATCTTTAGGTAAGACGACGCCAGGCAGCCGAAGCTCGTCCCCCGCCCCCAGCCCAAGCTGCCGCTCAACACCGTTGAGCCAGTTGGGCGTGAAGTAGCTGAAGTAGCTGAGGCTTCTGAAGCCTGTGAAGCTACGGAAGCTAACGAGGCCTCCGACTGCACATCAAGGTGAGTTGTCTTCACTTTACTTTTATAATCTTTGTCTTTAGGTACGTCAACTCGCGCAGCCCAAGCCCGTCCTCCCCCAAGCCCAAGCTGCCGCTCAACACCTACCAAGCCTAAACCCTCATGTGTTGATGAATTTAATAAACTATTATTGCATGTGGGCGTGGTTTACCCTTGTATCGGCCATACTATGCCGAGGTTGCCTTTCACATTTATAAATATGATACCTTACACTGTGTCTACAAGGGCATCTACAACATCACATGGCTTCATGGTCTACTGTATACAACAATGCATGGTACTGGATGGTGCGAGAGAAAGTGAGAGAGAGAGAGAAAGGTACAGAGAAGCAGGGAGTTTTTCTGGTATTTGGTATGAAGGTATATGATTACAAGGTGAAAGCAAAAGCGTGCAGCATACAAGGTGTGATATATTTATTGGGTACACAGCTACCAGAGGTATCAAGAGCGTTGGTATTGTGGGTGTTATTACCGGCTGCTGTCCCTGTTGTATAACGTAGGCGTACATGGGCAAGCTAACGGAAAAGCGGAAACATATATGGTATAATAAACGTAATTCCGCGATGATGGTGCTGAGGTCTAGCGTAGATGCCTCGCACGTCTAGCCGAGCTCGGGCCCGTATTTCCGGCTGCTTCTCCCATGAAGCCGGAAGCTTTTCGGGGAGTATTTCCAACGTGTTTTCTGGACGTTTTCCCGGCTGTCCTTTCTTTTAGCATCACCAGCTCATGCGGAGGAGTTGGAAGGGTAGCAGGTTGAGCTCAAGCTCAATATGCTGAGCATGAGATCAACATTTCCCGAACTTTTCTTGATTGAAGCGAGCAGCTTTCCTGGGTGTTGCTCTGCAGTCTTTCTTTAGTAGCTCGTGCTCAAAACGAAAAACTCAATGTAGACATGGTGTGGGTGTTTTTCAGGATCGACATGATGGTGCCGCGGCTCAACGTCGATGCTCGAGCCTAGGCTCACTATACCGAGCTCGTGCTCAATATGCTGAGCATGAGATCAACATTTCCCGAACTTTTCTTGATTGAAGCGAGCAGCTTTCCTGGGTGTTGCTCTGCAGTCTTTCTTTAGTAGCTCGTGCTCACAACGAAAAACTCAATGTAGACATGGTGTGGGTGTTTTTCAGGATCGACATGATGGTGCCGCGGCTCAACGTCGATGCTCGAGCCTAGGCTCACTATACCGAGCTCGTGCTCAATATGCTGAGCATGAGATCAACATTTCCCGAACTTTTCTTGATTGAAGCGAGCAGCTTTCCTGGGTGTTGCTCTGCAGTCTTTCTTTAGTAGCTCGTGCTCACAACGAAAAACTCAATGTAGACATGGTGTGGGTGTTTTTCAGGATCGACATGATGGTGCCGCGGCTCAACGTCGATGCTCGAGCCTAGGCTCACTATACCGAGCTCGTGCTCAGTATACTGAGCATGAGCTCGGTTCTTTCGGAACCTTTTTTTCGAAGCCGGCGGGCTTTCTGGGGGTTTTCGAGCGCGTTTTCTTTTAGGATCTCTTGCTCCTCTGCAGTAAGCAGCGTGCTTTCGATTTTGGCTTTTTCCAAGTCGGCTTTTGCTGGCGAATTCTTTGCTCTGACTTTTTCTTTAGTATTCTGCGGCTTTACACACCTTTTCTCGCGTTGTTTTCCATTGTTCACCTTGATTTCGATTCTGACTCTTTCTAAGGCAACTTTTCCAGGGTAGCGCCGACGCCATCGCTTCTAACTCCCCGGAAGCAGCGTCGCCTCACGATGGCCACGAGCAAATTTGAATGGTATCACAAGATCTTGATTATTATTACTTATTTTTTTAGGGTTGTCGGCCGTGCCGAGAAGGAAGTCGACGACCCGCCCGGCGACGTTGATGTATGGGAAATCTACTTCGGGACTCCACACCAAATCAGGCGATTTTCCCACTAAACTTTTGCTTCTTTTTTAGTTACATATCGTGTCGGATGGTGAACACGACGACGTGACGGCCGGCTGACGGGGAGGAGGAGACGACGTGTTCGTGGAGATTAGATTTCCGGCTTCGAGGAAGATTACAGGTTTGCCCTAATGCTCAATCTCTAAGCCAGTTTCAGGCGAGTCGAAGATGTCGCCAAGCCCGCTGACTGGTGCAGAACAGCAACTTCGGCACGCACAACTACTTCCGCATGGCCGACCGTTATTCAGGTATTTTGGCCTATTTTTTTCGATTTAGTTTGCTTTTGCAGGTGACGGTCAATGTGAAGCGGGCTGGAGCGTCGATCCAGGCGCGTGTAGCAGCACAACAACTCCGTCAAGTGCAACGGTTTTGCACGCCGATATTGAAAAGGTTTAAATGTTGGAATTTCTTTAAATTTTTGTATTACAGGTTTCAGCCCAGGAGCGAGTGAACCTGAACGCAGCTTCGGGCGCAAGGAGCGGGACAACAAGTTCGGCAAGGACGACTTTTTCGACCCGCCGATTGGCCAGGTTTAAATATGGGACTTTCTTTGTAGTTTTTGTTGCAGAGGCTAAATTTATGGACCTGAACGTGGTGTCCGCGGCTAGCGGTAGAACGTCGCCTTCGGCAGATTGGCGATACGGGCGGCGACGACAGCAATAAGGTTTGCACCGAACTTTTTTATAAACTTTTTTATTACAGGATTTGGCTCGCCTCGCAAAACTCCACTTGGGCGATGATGATAGAAGCTAAGTCTGGCTTCGCCCACCAAACACCTTCGCCGCGCACAACATTTTCTACACGTGGTAGATTACCCAGGTTTTTATATACAGTTTATTTGAAGTTTTTTATTACAGATTTCGATGCCCGCTTTCCAAATTTTGCGGGGCGTTGGAAATTGGCGATTATGACGCAAGTGAAGGTATGTTGTTATTGTTTGGCCCTAAGCTAACTTCAGACGGCTCGACAATGCCATCAAGCCGCGCAGCGGCTGAACAACATCGACTTCGCCAAGTACACAACGCTAACAGCATCCGAAGCACGGTCCAGGTTTTTATACGATATTTTTCTTGCATCCATTCCCATGCAGGTGTCAGCGCCAGGAGCAAGCCGACACCGCCGCCTACCCGACAGGCGGTTACAGAACGACGACTTCAACACGTACGGCGGTTTCGAGCGCTAGGCGGGCGACAAGGTTTGCATTGAATTTTTTCATGATTTATCTTCGTGTAGGTGCCTGCCAGTGGAAGCCGAACTGGCCGCCCACCCGACAACAGCTACACAACAACGAGCTCGGCAAGTTCAGCCGAAAATGGCCCCTGGGCGGCAATTTTTCGAGGTTTGTCGAGTTCAAATGCTTCTAAGCTCATTTTAGGCACGCCACCAACGCTGCCAAGCCCCTCGGCGACTCAGCGCCGACTCCAAAAAGCCAGAATTTCTGAGGCGTCTTTCCCACTTCCGGTTTGCGGTTCTGATCTTTCTATTATGTTTTTTATATTACAGATTCGACCCGATTTGCCGATGAGCGCTGTCGTCGGTGGCGTCAAGTGCAGGTTTGTGGTGCTCAACCGTTTCTAAGCCAACTTTAGCCGAGGACCTCCCTGCCTGGCGCCCCCTCAGCTGTACAACAAACTACGTCGTCACGTGGTCGTTTTCGACCGGCGGCAGAAACTTCCGGTTTGTAGATGGGATTTTTATTAACCTTTTACTTACAGTTTTCCGCGCTGCTCGGCGACCGCGACAAGCCGACATGACCGCAGCTGCGGAATCAGCAGGTTCTTATCATTTTTGTATTAAAATTCTCCTTATTTTAGGCCGATGCTCTTCCGGCGGCCACAGCGGGTTCCGGGACGACTACAACGATGTAGAAAATAATTTTCTGCCCCTCGAAGGTAGCGTACCGTTGCCTGCCTCTTCTCACCTTTTACTCTATATTGCCGGCTTTTCGTTGTAAAAACTCGCTCAACTTGTTGTAAACTTCCTCACATGGCTCTTTCCTCTCCACACCCGTTGGCTCGTATTTTCCGTCGGTTTCTCATCGCTTTTGTCGCGCACAATTCGTGGTAGTGTTCTTCCATTGTGGCCTGTTTCTATTACGAGAAGCTTCGTGGCACTAGGAAAAGCCGGGACTCATTAGCAAAAGTTGAGGCTCGATTTGAAAGGAATCTTCGCGTCGTGGTTTTTTCTTGCTTTTATCGCTCTCGTGGCTCTAGGCGAGCCCTAAGAGGCATTCACTCCGCTTCACCTTAGGCTTCCTCACCAGCTTCACACTCTCGTAGAAATTTTTTTGTTTTATCCTTCCTTTTTTTGATTTCGAAAAGGTTTTTTAGAAGTTTTTGCTGGGCCTAACTCTGTTGCTCAGTACGCGATGCTCCACTCCACCGTGGAACCTTGTAGTTGGTTAGGAGCAGTTCGAGCTCATCGACTTAAAGATAAAAGAAGAACTTTTTCGATATTTTATGAGTCGAATAGCTTGGCGTTTTCTAAGCCTTTTTTTTGTTACCGGCTGCGCTCTATTCCATTCTAATAATAGGCTAGCACCAGGAACCCAGGAACCCAGGCACTAGAACACAGACGCTGCTGGTTTCTCAGAGATTTTCACCGTGTTCAAAGCCCCGAATTAGATTTCCGTCGTCTAAACAATATCCGGGGCCAGCTTGTTTCCTTCTTCCATTCATATCGGCGCAGTTTCCTTTTTTAACGTCGACTCAGACATGTTTTTGTTTTTGTTAGACCAACATAGATTTTCCAGCGTCGGCTCTACGAACTTCCAGCTCAGCCAAGTGCGTTCAGGAACATGCTGTCAGCGTTTATTCGGTAAATTTCACGGTCTTCGAATCAATAAATTTTTTTAGAAATAAGGCAGGTCTTGGCCAACAAACCATTGAAATCGTCACCCCCGAGCATGGCATTCGATCTACGATTACAAAGTGAGGCCTACCATATGTTACCATTTTTTCGGTTCTGGACTGTTAGTGGGGGGGGGGGGATTTTTAGCAAAGGGGAAACACTTTCTGTTTCTCCAAACACCTGTTGAAGTGGTATTAAGCATATTGATAGTTTTTAGTAGTTTTTCATCTCTGGAAAGTTACAAAATTATTTTTGAAAATGAAAATTTTAACCTTTTTCACCATTTTTCATACCTTTGTGACCAAAAGGACGAAGATTTTTTATCTTCATTTAGGTCTAAAAACTATGGACAATACTATAACCATGGTTTATATTGTTTGCGGTGGGGCCGTAGAGAATCACAGGAAAAAATCTGGATCCCCCGCTAACAGTCCAGAAACTATTTTTTGCAGGAAGAGAAATATCAGGCCAACCATCAATCTGAGTGGGCAAGGATGGGACGGGATGACTTTGAGCTGCCGATGGACGAACGAAGATAATGGAACAGGCGAGATTATTCATCTTCGCCGCAATCACCGTGACGACCAAATGGTAGGTAGTCCCTGTTATAGTTACTCCCGCTTTTTCAGACATCCTATCCGACACGCCTCACCTTCCACGGGGAAGACGACATGCCCGAATTCTGGATCGACGTGCGCAAGGACGATCAGCACGTGGCGACTGTTGCCTCACCAGGAATCACGGTACATTTTCAGACAGAGCTCAGATATTTTTTTCTTCAGCTTCATTTCAACAGGGAGCCCCATGTGATCTCTGCGCCGGCCCAGGTGTGGGCTTCCGAAGACCGTTATATTTTGCTTTAGGTCAGGATCGAAAACCGTGGAAAATTCCTGAGTCTCCATTCTGAACACGCTCGCTTCGTAGAGTGGCCGTCTGTTCTCTTGCTAACTAAAGGTACTTTTATTCTGATTTTTTTGTTTTAGTCGTGAATCTAGCCCAATTAAACCCATTGGAATTCGTAGCAGGTGGGGGAGGTCCCCCACGGTAGTCCTAAAAATCACATAATGTGCAAAGACTTCGAATTTTAGATTAAAATGGGCATAAAACCAACCAACAAATTTTATGAATTTTCAAACACCTTAGCTTTTCAGACCTTTCAAAGGTATTTTCATTGAAGATTACTGGGCTCAAAATTCGGTACTCATTTGTTATTCATTTTGTTATTTTGGTGCAAATTTGCCCTCAAAGTTATACCAGGGTCTGAACTAGCATATTTGGGTGGTCGTCGAATTTAGCCAAAAGTGCGTCATAGCTCTTCCAAACCCACGCTGTTTTTTGAATTTGCTATCTCACTACTCCTTGTCAAAAATAATATTTTACAGCGGACGGAACCACCGGTGCCGTGAGGAGCGGCGAGCTTCTACGCCTCGAAGATCCTTATCTGGATATACCGGCGCTCGAGTTTCTGCTGCAAATCCCGAAGGGGGTTCGTTTCTGGCTATTTTGGTTAATTTTTTTTAGACTACGAGTCTGAAGGAACGACAGGCCATACGGTGGCAAACGGCGCAGCTCAAATTCGCTTCCGTCGACGACAGCGGGGCTGTCACGCAGGAATTCCTAGTTTCCGACACGGAGACGCCTGACAGATGCGCGTTCAGGATGACACTCGCGAATACGGTAATTACCAGCTCCTTTCAAAAACCGTCATTCAGGCCTTTTATTCTTTCTCTTGGAATGGCGGGAAACCACGGATTATTCCTACCTACAATGTCGGCCGAATGTTGACCATAACTGAGGATGCCTTTTTGCTGGACGGAGTCTACTACGTGCACCATATGATGTGGAAGACGAGTCGCACCGCACTTCACATTCTACCGCGTCTTCACGTCAATAATTAGTTAGTTTTTGCCGTTTTAGTGCTGTAGCAGTGGGTGTCGTCGCAACTGTTTCTACGTATAAATAACTCATAATCAATTATTCTTTAGCGCTCGCGCCAAGGCCGACTCGAAGCTGATGCGACATGCTTTCCCGGAAGTGGACCCTTTTGTGCTAAATGGGCAGGGCATGATTTTGATCGACAACTCTGAAGTCCAGTGGATCTATCATCGCGCATACAATGCAAAGGTATAGAAAGTTTCCCTTCCATGATTGTCCCATTTTGCAGAAACGTGCCTTCGAGAAGATCAAGCGCTAGGCAAAGAAGCTTCGGAAGACGCTCGCCCGGCTTCCAACCAACGAGCTGCTCATCAAATAATCAAAAAATCATCCTATTCTGTTTTTCGCCTTGTTTAGGATGGGAAGATTCAATTAATTGTTTATCGATAGTGTGGTTTTCAGTCGCCTGATTTGCGCCTATTCGTATCTTCTCTGATAACTTAGCTCCCTTTACATTCCGTCTCGACCCGTTACGTTACGTTTCGATCCACACTTTTTGCACAGTCTAATGTTTCTTTCCTTTGTAGGGTCTTTCCCGGTTCCGGTTTGTTGAGCCGATTACGTTCTTTCCCCCTCTACATATATTTACCACCATTCCAAAACCACCGAAAACTTTCCGTTTTTAACCATACCCCTTCGTATACCTTTTTGCTAAACGGCTGTTCCGGAATAAACGCTGTTTTCAAAATGATGGACACCTGCGGCGTGACAAGGCAGAGGAACAGAGGGGCGTAAAGAGGTGTGGCACGGATTTTCATCGCAAATGGCTTAGAAATAGGCCAAAAGGGTGCCACAAATCGCATCGATGATTTAAGGTAAGGTACAGAGGGGCGTAAAGAGGAGTGGCACGGATTTTCATCGCAAATGGCTTAGAAATAGGCAAAAAGGGTGCCACAAATCTCATCGATGATCTAAGGGAAGGAACAGAGGGGCGTAAAGAGGAGTGGCACGGATTTTCATCGCAAATGGCTTAGAAATAGGCCAAAAAGGGTGCCACAAATCTCATCGATGATCTAAGGGAAGGTACAGAGGGGCGTAAAGAGGAGTGGCACGGAATTTCATCGCAAATGGCTTAGTAATAGGCAAAAAGGGTGCCACAAATCGCATCGATGACTCAAGGGAAGGTACAGAGGGGGCGTAAAGAGGAGTGGCACGGATTTTCATCGCAAATGGCTTAGAAATAGGCAAAAAGGGTGCCACAAATCTCATCGATGATCTAAGGGAAGGAACAGAGGGGCGTAAAGAGGAGTGGCACGGATTTTCATCGCAAATGGCTTAGAAATAGGCCAAAAAGGGTGCCACAAATCTCATCGATGATCTAAGGGAAGGTACAGAGGGGCGTAAAGAGGAGTGGCACGGATTTTCATCGCAAATGGCTTAGAAATAGGCAAAAAGGGTGCCACAAATCGCATCGATGACTCAAGGGAAGGTACAGAGGGGCGTAAAGAGGAGTGGCACGGATTTTCATCGCAAATGGCTTAGAAACAGGCAAAAAGGGTGCCACAAATCGCATCGATGACTCAAGGGAAGGTACAGAGGGGCGTAAAGAGGAGTGGCACGGATTTTCATCGCAAATGGCTTAGAAACAGGCAAAAAGGGTGCCACAAATCGGATTGATGATTTAAGGGAAGGTACAGAGGGGCGTAAAGAGGAGTGGCACGGATTTTTATCGCAAATGGCTTAGAAGTAGGCAAAAAGCGTGCCACAAATCGCATCGATGTATTACGGGAAGCTACGGAGGGGCGTAAAGAGGAGTGGCACGGATTTTCATCGCAAATGGCTTAGAAGTAGGCAAAAAGCGTGCCACAAATCGGATTGATGTTTTAAGGGAAGGTACAGAGGGGCGTAAAGAGGAGTGGCACGGATTTTCATCGCAAATGGCTTAGTAATAGGCAAAAAGGGTGCCACAAATCGCATCGATGACTCAAGGGAAGGTACAGAGGGGCGTAAAGAGGAGTGGCACGGATTTTCATCGCAAATGGCTTAGAAGTAGGCAAAAAGGGTGCCACAAATCGCATCGATGTATTACGGGAAGCTACGGAGGGGCGTAAAGAGGAGTGGCACGGATTTTCATCGCAAATGGCTTAGAAATAGGCAAAAAGGGTGCCACAAATCTCATCGATGATCTAAGGGAAGGTACAGAGGGGCGTAAAGAGGAGTGGCACGGATTTTCATCGCAAATGGCTTAGAAATAGGCCAAAAAGGGTGCCACAAATCTCATCGATGATCTAAGGGAAGGTACAGAGGGGCGTAAAGAGGAGTGGCACGGATTTTCATCGCAAATGGCTTAGAAATAGGCAAAAAGGGTGCCACAAATCGCATCGATGACTCAAGGGAAGGTACAGAGGGGCGTAAAGAGGAGTGGCACGGATTTTCATCGCAAATGGCTTAGAAGTAGGCAAAAAGCGTGCCACAAATCGCATCGATGTATTACGGGAAGCTACGGAGGGGCGTAAAGAGGAGTGGCACGGATTTTCATCGCAAATGGCTTAGAAGTAGGCAAAAAGGGTGCCACAAATCTCATCGATGATCTAAGGGAAGGAAAAGAGGGGCGTAAAGAGGAGTGGCACGGATTTTCATCGCAAATGGCTTAGAAGTAGGCAAAAAGGGTGCCACAAATCTCATCGATGATCTAAGGGAAGGTAAAGAGGGGCGTAAAGAGGAGTGGCACGGATTTTCATCGCAAATGGCTTAGAAGTAGGCAAAAAAGGGTGCCACAAATCTCATCGATGATCTAAGGGAAGGTACAGAGGGGCGTAAAGAGGAGTGGCACGGATTTTCATCGCAAATGGCTTAGAAGTAGGCAAAAAGGGTGCCACAAATCTCATCGATGATTTAAGGGAAGGTAAAGAGGGGCGTAAAGAGGAGTGGCACGGATTTTCATCGCAAATGGCTTAGAAGTAGGCAAAAAGGGTGCCACAAATCGGATTGATGATTTAAGGGAAGGTACAGAGGGGCGTAAAGAGGAGTGGCACGGATTTTCATCGCAAATGGCTTAGTAATAGGCAAAAAGGGTGCCACAAATCGGACTGATGATTTAAGGGAAGGTACAGAGGGGCGTAAAGAGGAGTGGCACGGATTTTCATCGCAAATGGCTTAGAAGTAGGCAAAAAGCGTGCCACAAATCGGATTGATGATTTAAGGGAAGGTACAGAGGGGCGTAAAGAGGAGTGGCACGGATTTTCATCGCAAATGGCTTAGAAGTAGGCAAAAAGCGTGCCACAAATCGGATTGATGATTTAAGGGAAGGTACAGAGGGGCGTAAAGAGGAGTGGCACGGATTTTCATCGCAAATGGCTTAGAAGTAGGCAAAAAGCGTGCCACAAATCGGATTGATGATTTAAGGGAAGGTACAGAGGGGCGTAAAGAGGAGTGGCACGGATTTTCATCGCAAATGGCTTAGAAGTAGGCAAAAAGGGTGCCACAAATCGGATCGATGATTTAAGGGAAGGTACAGAGGGGCGTAAAGAGGAGTGGCACGGATTTTCATCGCAAATGGCTTAGAAGTAGGCAAAAAAGGGTGCCACAAATCGGATTGATGATTTAAGGGAAGGTACAGAGGGGCGTAAAGAGGAGTGGCACGGATTTTCATCGCAAATGGCTTAGAAGTAGGCAAAAAAGGGTGCCACAAATCGGATTGATGATTTAAGGGAAGGTACAGAGGGGCGTAAAGAGGAGTGGCACGGATTTTCATCGCAAATGGCTTAGAAGTAGGCAAAAAGGGTGCCACAAATCGCATCGATGTTTTAAGGGAAGGTACGGAGGGGCGTAAAGAGGAGTGGCACGGATTTTCATCGCAAATGGCTTAGAAGTAGGCAAAAAAGGGTGCCACAAATCGGATTGATGATTTAAGGGAAGGTACAGAGGGGCGTAAAGAGGAGTGGCACGGATTTTCATCGCAAATGGCTTAGAAGTAGGCAAAAAGGGTGCCACAAATCGGATTGATGATTTAAGGGAAGGTACAGAGGGGCGTAAAGAGGAGTGGCACGGATTTTCATCGCAAATGGCTTAGAAGTAGGCAAAAAGGGTGCCACAAATCGGATTGATGATTTAAGGGAAGGTACAGAGGGGCGTAAAGAGGAGTGGCACGGATTTTCATCGCAAATGGCTTAGAAGTAGGCAAAAAGCGTGCCACAAATCGGATTGATGATTTAAGGGAAGGTACAGAGGGGCGTAAAGAGGAGTGGCACGGATTTTCATCGCAAATGGCTTAGAAGTAGGCAAAAAGCGTGCCACAAATCGGATTGATGATTTAAGGGATGGTACAGAGGGGCGTAAAGAGGAGTGGCACGGATTTTCATCGCAAATGGCTTAGAAGTAGGCAAAAAAGCGTGCCACAAATCGGATTGATGATTTAAGGGAAGGTACAGAGGGGCGTAAAGAGGAGTGGCACGGATTTTCATCGCAAATGGCTTAGAAGTAGGCAAAAAGCGTGCCACAAATCGGATTGATGATTTAAGGGAAGGTACAGAGGGGCGTAAAGAGGAGTGGCACGGATTTTCATCGCAAATGGCTTAGAAGTAGGCAAAAAGCGTGCCACAAATCGGATTGATGATTTAAGGGAAGGTACAGAGGGGCGTAAAGAGGAGTGGCACGGATTTTCATCGCAAATGGCTTAGAAGTAGGCAAAAAGCGTGCCACAAATCGGATTGATGATTTAAGGGAAGGTACAGAGGGGCGTAAAGAGGAGTGGCACGGATTTTCATCGCAAATGGCTTAGAAGTAGGCAAAAAGCGTGCCACAAATCGGATTGATGATTTAAGGGAAGGTACAGAGGGGCGTAAAGAGGAGTGGCACGGATTTTCATCGCAAATGGCTTAGAAGTAGGCAAAAAAGCGTGCCACAAATCGGATTGATGATTTAAGGGAAGGTACAGAGGGGCGTAAAGAGGAGTGGCACGGATTTTCATCGCAAATGGCTTAGAAGTAGGCAAAAAGCGTGCCACAAATCGGATTGATGATTTAAGGGAAGGTACAGAGGGGCGTAAAGAGGAGTGGCACGGATTTTCATCGCAAATGGCTTAGAAGTAGGCAAAAAAGCGTGCCACAAATCGGATTGATGATTTAAGGGAAGGTACAGAGGGGCGTAAAGAGGAGTGGCACGGATTTTCATCGCAAATGGCTTAGAAGTAGGCAAAAAGCGTGCCACAAATCGGATTGATGATTTAAGGGAAGGTACAGAGGGGCGTAAAGAGGAGTGGCACGGATTTTCATCGCAAATGGCTTAGAAGTAGGCAAAAAAGCGTGCCACAAATCG